TTCATTTGTTCTTCTTTACTGTGTCGAATATGTGTCCTAACTCATTGCGGAAGGTTAGTGGTGATAGAAAACATCTGTTGTCTCACTCTTGATTTTGTAGGGAATCATTCTAATGTTTTACCATGAAATATGATGCTTGCTCTAGGTTTTCAATATCCTTTTATGAATTGCTTATTAAGTGAGTTTTCTCTGTGTATTGAAGAGAGCATACTCTTTAATACTTATGTGGTGATTTATACTAGTAGATGTTCTTAAATAATCATTGCATTTCTGAAATAAACCCAACTTGACCATGATTTACTTATTTATACAGAACTGAATTATATTTATTAATAGTTTGAGATTTGAGCTTTGTGCATCTATTTACATAAATAAATCAGTCTGTATATTTTTCTTATAGACACTGGTTGTCTATTTTTGTTATCAAGTTTAAACTAGCCTTGAAAAATTCATTAGGGAATGTTCTCTCTTATTTATTAAAATTTTCCATGAAGATTTAAGATTTTATATGAAATTGGAATTATCTTTTCTTTGAAGATTTGGTAGAAGTCACTAGCAAAATCATCTTAGCCTATTCTATTTGTTTACTTGGTAGGTAAAACTTTAATTGCTAATTCAACTTTTTTTTTAAAGATTTTATTTATTTATTTGACTCACAGAGAGAGATCACAAATAAGCAGAGAGGCAGGCAGAGAGAGAGGGGGAAGCAGGCTCCCTGCTGAGCAGAGAGCCCAGTGCGGGACTCAATTCCGGGACCCTGAGATCATGACCTGAGCCGAAGACAGAGGCTTAACCCACTGAGCCACCCAGGTGCCCTGATTCAACTTATTTAATAGACATTAGAAAATTCAGGATTTCTAGTTCCTCAGTCAATTGTGGCAGTTTGTATTTTTTTTAACAAAATCTCTATTTTTTCTAAATTTTCAGCTTATTAGCACGAAATTGTTTCTAGTATTATCTATTATCTTATTTACCTTTAGATCTCTAATGTATTTTAGTTACATCCTTTTTTTATTCTTCAAATTCTTTATTTGACCTTTTGTTTTTCTTTATCAATCTTACCAAAGATTTGTCTATTTTTAAGAATCTTTACAAAGAGACAGCTATTGACTTTTTTATTTCTCTCTGTTGTATGTTTTTGTGTCTATTTCGTTATTTTCTGTTTTTAACCTTTCAAGTTTACTCTGACTTTCTTAAGTTGGATGCTAATAATTTCTACCCTTATTTTTTCTTAATACAAGCTTTAAGTTTATAGATAATTTAAACACTATTTTAGCTTTATGTCACAAACTCACACACAGGCATGTGACCAACTCAGCCTTCATGTCTAAGCTCCATCCCTGAAAACAGTCACCCTTTGGCCATTCTTGATGCAGACTGTGGGATAATCCACCTCAAGAGGACAGACCCAAGAAAGAGACTCAATTTAGGCCGTGGAAATAGACTTGGAGCTGTTTAGGCAGGAAATTGGGGGGTTCCAGCTACCTAGTAGGTGGTTTAGAAGTGAAGTATGCAGGCTTCAAATGGATATATTCTCTTGACCCTATAGACTACTCACTTTGTAAAGATGAGAAAACCTGGAGGAAGGCCAGAGTGGGGTCCTCTCAAACTAGAGGTTCAGGTCAGGGCCTCTCTTGTCCATATCCAAAGACAGTACTGTATAAGACAGGAAGCAAGCTTTTTTCAAGAGGAAGAATGTTGCCACAGAAATCAAATAAGAAAAAGAAATAAAAGTTATCCAAATTGGTAAGGAAGAAGTAAAACTTCAACTATTCACAGATGATATGATACTACATATAGAAAACCCTAAAGACTCCACTAAAAAACTATTAGAACTGATAAATGAATTCAGTAAGGTTGCAGGATACAAACTAAATACACAGAAATTCACCGAATTTCTATACACTAATAATGAAGTATTAGAAAGAGAAATCAAGAAAACAATCCCATTTGCACTTGCATCAAAAAGAGTAAAATATTGGGGCACCTGGGTGGCTCAGTGGATTGAGCCTCTGCCTTCGGCTCGGGTCATGGTCTCGAGGTCTTGGGATCGGGCCCCTCATCTGGTTCTCTGTTCAGCGGGGGCCTGCTTCCCCCTCTCCCTCTGCCTGCCTACTTGTGATCTCTCTCTCTGTCAAATAGATAAATAAAATCTTTTTTTAAAAAAAGTAAAATACCTAGGAATAAATTAAACCTAGGTGGTGAAAAACCTCCATTCTGAAAACTATAAAACGCTGATTAAAGAAATTGAAGATGACGCAAACAAATGGAAAGATATTCCATGCTCCTGGATTGGAAGAACAAATATTGTTAAAATGTTCATACTATCCAAAGCAACCTACATATTTAATGCAATCCCTATCAAAGTACCAACAGCATTTTTCACAGAACTGGAACAAATAGCCCTAAAATTTGTATGGAACGACAAAAGACCCTGAATAGCCAAAGCAATCTTGAAAAAAAAGAGCAAAACTGGAAGTATCACAATCACAGATTTCAAGATATACTACGAAGCTATAGTAATCAAACCAATATAGTACTGGCACAAGAATAGACACATAGATCGATGGAAGAGAGTAGAGAGCCCAGAAATAAGCCCACAATTATAAGGTCAATTGATCTTCCATAAAGGAGGCAAGAATATACAATGGGAAAAAGTCTCTTCAACAAATGGTGATGGGAAATACTGGACAGCAAAATGCAAACAAATAAAACTGGACTGCTTTCTTCTACCATACACAAAAATAAACTCAAAAAGATTAAGGACCTAAATGTGAGACCTGAAACCTTAAAAATCCTAGAAGAAAGCATAGGCAGTAATTTCTCTGACATTTTTCTAGATATGTTTCCTCAGGTAAGGGAAATGAGGGCAAAAATAACCTATTGAGACTACATCAACATTAGATGCTTCTGAGCAGCTAAGACGGTGGCATAGTAGGAGGACCCTATGCTCTTCTTGTTCCTAGAGCACAACCAGATAACTATCAAATCATTTGGAATATCTGTAAAAATGACCTGAGTACTGACAGAACAAATTGCACAACTAGAGGGAGAGAAGAGGCCACATCGAGGAAAGTATGAAGTGCAGGGGACATGGTGTGGGAGAGAAACAAAATGAAAAGCTTCTGCACGACAAAGGTAACAATCATCAAAACTTAAAGGCAACCTACAGAATGGGAGAAGATATTTGCAAATGACACATCTGATAAAAACTCAGGATCCAAAATATATAAAGTTGCAAATATATACAAGTTAACATCCAATAAAGCAAATAATCCAATTTAAAAATGGGCAGAAGTCATAAACAGACATTTTCCAAAGACGACATACAGATGACCAACAGCCACACGAAAAGATGCTCAACATCACTTCTCTGGGAAGTGCAAATCAAAATCACAATCAGCTATCACTTGTACCTGTTAGAGTGGCTAAAATCGAAAACACAAGAAACAATTTGTACACCTGAAAGTCATATTATACGGTATGTTAACTAACTGAAATTTAAGTAAAAACTTTAAAAAAAATTTTTTTAAAAACACAAGAAACAACAACTGTTGGCAAGGACGTGGAGAAAATGCAACGCAAATTGGTACAGTCACTGTGGAAAACAGTATGGAGAACAAAAAAAGATAATAGTATGAAGGTTCCTCAGAAGATTAAATATATAATTGTCAAATGATCCAGTAATTCCACTATTGCCAAAGAATACAAAAACACTAATTTGAAAAGATATATGCACTCCTATGTTCATTGCAGCATTATTTACCATAGTCAAATTATGGAAGCAGCCCAGGTTTCCATTGATATAGATGAATGGATAAAGAAGATGTGATATATATATATATATATATATATATATATATATATATAGGAATATTACTCAGCCCCCCAAAATAATGAAACCTTGCCATTTGCAACAACATGAATGGAGCTAGAGAGTATAATGCTAAGTGAAAGTCAGTAGGAGAAAGACAAACACCATGTGATTTCACCTATATATGGAATTTAAGAAACAAAACTAAACAAAACAAAAAACCGATAGAAACCAAGAAACAGACTATATCACTATAGAGAGTAAACATGGTTACCAGAGGGGAGGTAGGTGGGGTGGGGAAATAGGTGAAGGGGATTTAAAAAAAAAAAAAAAAGGAGGAAGAACACTGGTTACAGTAAGATGAGGCAGAAAGAAGTATTCTGTGCAAAGAGAAGAGGGTCAGGAAATTTGGGGAATATAGAGAAATATGGGTTTCAGAATAGGCAAAAGATACCTGGTGAGATTTGCTGGCCTCTATATTGTAGAACTTTGATGTAAAATTTGGGCAAAGTCACAGAGGATTCAGCCTTTATAAATACTATTCTCTGCATCCCTCATTCACGTAACTCTTATAAATACTTCAGGTCTCAGCTAGAGTTTCACTTTCTCTTCTTCCTCCCAACCCTTGATTAATTTATCCCCTCCCTCTTAAATTTTTCCAAAGAATCTGTACTTTCTCTTTTGTTATACTCAATCACATATCTGTCTTTCTGATGATTCAGGCTGAAAGCTTTCTGAAGACATTTGTCTTGTCCTGCATCATATCCCCAGCATCCAGAAAGTGACTGAAACTCATCAAATGATCAAGAAATATTTGATGAATTAATAAGTTGGCCTTGGGGCACCTGGGTGGCTCAGTTGGTTGAGCATCCGACTTGATTCCAGCTCAGGTCTTGATCTCCAGGTCCTAGGACTGAGCCCTATGTCAGGCTCCATACTCAGCGAGGAATCTACTTGAGATTTTTTCCCTCTGCCCACCCCCTCGCACATCATATGCACTCTCTCTCTCTCTCTCTCTCTCGACAATAAATATATCTTAAAATATACATAATTTGGCCTCGTGATGCTTGAGTGGTATTGCCTGATATGGTCGAATCCAAATAGGGTATAAGTAGAATATCAGCCTTTTGCTATCCTTCCACTTTGAATAATGTCATTTTACACAGAAATTTTCAAAGCCAGTTACTCAGACAAAGGTTGTGTATTTTAATATCTAAAACGCTATATAAGATTTTCTGGAAAATCTAAAATCACCCAAGTGTTATACTATCATTTAAAAAGGCTTGGATTATATACTAGAAATTCCCCTTCATCATATGTAAAACATTTTTGCTGTTACCTATAGTAAAACAGATGAAAGGACAATTTGAAGGAGAGCGAACAGACGTGAGAGTGTTTGGGTTGGGATCTACCCACCCCAATCCCAAGAGGTAAAGACAAAGATGAAAGAACCAAGATGCTAGTTTGTGCTGGGTCTCTTCAATAACCCAATTGGTCCATACGGACAACCCATCTGACCTATTCAAACCACTCTCTGACTCACTACTGGTCATTACTTGGAGAGTTCCTCCAAAGCAAGCACATGGCACTAGTTAAAATGATGTGGAATTTAGTCAACAGAGCTACCCCTTGAGAATCTTGCTCTAGGCTGCTGTGAAGACAGCATCCTTGGTCTTGACGAGTAATCCCGTGGCTGTACACGATCCTGGCTGCAAGTCCACAAATACTGGGGCATAGCCTGAGTATTACTAAAGATAACAAAGGTTTCGGGGCTGGAGACATTGTCAACCACACTGTCATGGCAGTCTGTGTCTCCAGGACTCAATGGTGGGGGAGTGATCTGTAACTGATGACCCTGACAGAAGGAGCCTGTGAGTACTTCAGCTTCAAACACATATATCAGTTCGTCTGTGGCCGATGTTTCCTTGACCCGGTATGCTAGGTTTTTCAGGCTCTTGGTGAAGTATATACCAACTCCATATTTTGGGTCTGAGAAGAGAAAAAAAAGTTAAAAGATTATTAGGATCTGATGAATCGTATTGCCTATGTGGGTACTACTATGTAATCTCTCTCTAGTCCTCTAAATAATCACCACCTCCTGGTCTCAAGTCCCTGTCTGCAGCAAAGACACCTAAAGTTGTCCTACTGAGACAAATTATCATTGATATCATCAGCCTAATAACAGCTTACATTTATATACCTACTTCCTTTTTTATTTCCCTTCCTCCCTATTTTTTTCTTTACATTTACTTCGGATTTAACCAAATATTGTTGCAGGCTCACGAGCTGCACTGAACAACAAAAGTTCAATGTAAGCATATATGTAATTTTAAATTTTCTAGTAGCCACATAAAAAAGTAAAAAGGAACAGATAAAATTAATTTAGTAATTTTTATTTAATCTGTGTTATCCAATATGTTACCATTTCAACTTGTAATCAATATAAAAAATTATTAAGGAGATATTTTATATTCTTTCCTTGGGTAGTGGTCTTTAGAATCAGTGTATATTTTGCATTTATAATCCATCTCAATTCAGATTAACCACGTTTTAGGTGCTCAATAGTCACATGTGGCCAATGGCTACCAGTTGGACAGTTCAGCTCTCGGGCTTCTAGAATAACTAAGACATGATCCCTGTTCTCAAAAATTCACAAAGGGAAACACCCACATGTAAACAGGTAAAGTACAGCACAGTTTTATGTGGAGAGAAAATATTTTGAGATAAAAATCAAAGATTTCTTTCCTGGAATTTTCATCTTGCTCTTGGTTTCTCTACCCATTGAGTTCTTGCTACTCATTATATTGGGGCAAAAAAGATAAAGCTTATAACAAAGCACATTTAGGAAACTCTAAGTAGTTCCTGGCTGACATGTGGATGAACACAGTGAGTGATGGGGGAGGGGGGGAATGATGCAGGAGCAGGGGAACCTAGGTCCTTACATGCTCTGCCAATGGGGTTGGAGTTTTACCTCGCAGGCAGCTAGGTAAGTAGATATTAAACAGGCATGTATGTTTTTAGCACGACAATTCTGGAAGCAGAGAAAAGGATAGGTTGGATAGAGTTGTGGTTTTGAGGCAAGAAAGGACCTGGTCATCATCTGGGCCCAGGGGAAGAAGAACAAAGGCAACAGAAATAGAGAGATGAGGCTGGGCTGAGAATGTTTCAAGAGGAAACCAGCAGGGCTGTGTGACTGCCTGAACCTAGAGTAAGAGGAAGGAGGAATGGAAGAAGATAACGTTTCCAGCTAGAAGACCTCATATATAGATGGTGATGGTATTAGCCAGGATAGGGGGTATGGCAGGGGGAGGGTAAGGAAAAAGCACCTATTTCTTAGGGAAAAGTATGGCCAAGGAAAAAGTTCAGTCCAAGGTGGTTATGGAACATCTAGGCAGAAATATTCAAAAGACAGTTGGAGATATGGACTTGCAGGTCAGGAGAGAAGAAGGGGCTTCGAGTTACAAATCTGTAAGTCATCAGAGGTAGGAGTTGAAGCTATAGGTATAGGTGCAATCACCCTGGGGGACATCGTAGGGTTGGAAAAAAAAAAAAAAGCTTCCTTTAGAACTCCAGAAAACACCCAACAGATGGACTCACTAGATTATAAATTATAAGGGCAGGAACTCTGTGTTGTGTTTACTGTTGTATTCCTCCCACCGAGCACAGGGCCTGACTTACAGAATGTGCTCAAGAACGAATGAATGAGTGAATGAACCCAATAAAACACATTGCAAGCATGGAGGCTCCTTCTTGCTACATTTGGGCAAATCCTGCAAGCAAGAGATAAAATCAGAACTGGCTGGAATGTAAGCCAAGACAGAAAATATATATATAAAGCTTCATTCATAGAAGCCCACTTTGCCTATAGTTAGCCGTCTAAATTGACTGAGAATCCCATAATTGGGAAACTTGCAGGGGTAAAAAAGAAATAAATAAATAAAGCCAAGAACCTTTGTACTCCAAATGAAAACTGGGTTAAAAAAGAAGAGTTGCAAAATAACTTTGGCAGTGATAAAATGTCTCCTGGGTTTCTCAAGCACCTTTGGTTACGCACGCTCACCAGACATGTTGGCTCAAGTCCCATTATGGACAGTATCTCCCCAGTGAATCTATTATCTGAATCGCCTCAGGCAGCGGCTTTAAGCTAAAAGCTAGGGATGTGGACAGAGCACCGAGGCCAGTAGGTAAAAGGCCAGAATCTTGAGGCTTCAAGACTAGATGGAGACAAGACCTTTGGCTGGGCTTTGAAGACACAAACTTGACCAGCAGTAAACAGGCTTCATGCCTGCTAAGGTTTTAAAGGAACTGTATTGCTGAAGAAACTGTAAGCCTGGCTGTCAGTAGCCTGAGAGCATTCTAGTCCCTGAGGCAATCCACGGACCCCTGATAGGCCACAGGCCGCAGTGGGTCCAGAAATGACCAAAGATGGCAACGCATAGGGAAGATTCTTCCCAGAGTGCCAAACAAGGGTGTTAGTCCACTCCCGGAATACTGTCTTCGCTATCCCTGTCCGGCGGCATGGGATTAATTGTATGGACCATGACTTTCCTTCTCCCCTATAGAAATGGGAGTGTTTTTGGTTTTGTTTTTAAAGCGCTTATTTATTTTTTGACAGAGCGAGAGAGTACAAGCAGGGGGAGTGGTAGGCAGAAGGGGAGGAAGAAGCATGTGAAGCTCCCTCCCAGGACTCTGGGATCATGACCTGAGCAGAAGGTAGACACAACCCTCTGAGCCACACAGGCATCCCTAGAAATGGGAGTTTTTTACTGCAGTTTTCCTGCTCTTCCTATCATTATATAATGACTGGGTTAGGGCAATTACCTTGCTTTTAAGCTTTAAGAGGACTTTCTGGACTCAAGGCTGATGAGATAGGACGAGATTTTGGGGCTGTCTTCCTTGGGAGGTGATGTGTGTGCCTTTTAGGAAGAAAGATGCGTGCAGATGTCAGGCAATTTGCAGCATCTGCCACAGGACTGAAAAGAAGGCACTACTGGATTTTATAAATAGGAGGACAGTGATGGTCTTAGTGAGAGTAGTTTACGTAGGGATGGGAGCGGGGAGTGCAGAGAAGAAGCCAGTTACGACGGGTTTGGGAGCAGACAGAAGTTGTGAATTTTTAAGACTTTAACCAATATCACTCTTCTGACTACACTCAAAGAGTTCTTTTCTTGGTAGGGATCCATTTAAAAATTTTTTACCCCCAGGAACTTCCCATGTTCAGTTTTTACTCCAGGTATTGTTTATGTTCTCTCTGGGGGCAAAGAGATGATGATTTCCAGACCCGTTGCTTTCTAGAAATTAAGATCTGGAGTTGGCTTCACAGCAAGGATCATGCTACATATTTTGAAAGGTAAAAATCAAGAACAGAATCAATAGATCAGGCAAATCAAGCTGTATGGCTAGTATCCTCCATGATTATTACTAAGCTTCTTTGCCTCCTTTGGAGAGATCTAGAGGGGACAATACAGCAATTAAGTATGCAGTATTGTTGTACAACTGAAAAGAGATATGGAAGCTACACACTGTAGAACTCCCATAGCTGAAAAGGATCTTAAAGGATTGTTTACTTCACCTGCCAGATGCTATCTAATTCATTCACTAGCAGGCTACAGGAAATGAAGAAGATGGAAGAGAAAAGAGCAACTTTATTAAGCTCAGGAAAATGCCCTTTTAATTAAGGGATGAGGTTTGGTAGTGTTGATAATTATTTTGTGGAGCTAAGAAAAAAAACTTCAGGGTGCTTTCGGCAGATAAGACACATAACCACAGAAAAGAGAAAAACAGTGAACTGTACATCTTACCGCAAAAGCTTTCATCAGCATTAAACCCATCAGCAACAAAACAAGAAGGACAAACAAAAAATATGACCCTTTCCAAATGACTCAATCACTATATCCCAGTTGCCAGGGTTCCCTTAACCAAAGCAACAAAAACCACAAATGGTGAGTCATCTGCTGGGGTCTGCTCACCACTCCCCACATACAGAGACCCCGAAGATGAGGAGCTGATACCTACCGCAGGGCACCGAGTACATTCTTTGAAAGCCAACTCTGCATACATCTTTGCAGAACTGGAAAGGAATTTGCTGAAACAGCCTGTGGCTCACAGGCTTCCCCTGTGTTCTCTCTCCCATCATCTTCTTCTTTTTTTGGAAGACAGCCATGAGAACCTCATTGTCTATTTTCTCCACCTATGACCCAAGGATATGAAAAACTGAAAAAAAACTGGGAAAAAAAGTGAGAAGCGCAATGTATGTTGCTTGATACTCTGCTTCAAAGAGAAAGGCTGTGTGTATTACTAGGCATGCAACTTGCTTTTCATATAAAGTGTTTTAAGAGTCCTCCTGGCTCCCACCCCTCTCCTACTTTGACTTCTGGCTCTTCAAAATTCCCTGTCCCTTCTTTGATAAATCCATGTAATAAAAATTCACTGAGTGAATCCCTACGTGCCAGGCACTGGTAACAAAAGGGTCAACAGTGTAGACAGTCTTTGCCTTCTTAAAAGCTCCTGGTTTAACAGGAGGTAAAAAGTAGGTGAACAATTATAATACAGTGTAATAAATGCTATTCTATTTTTTTTTTCATACTGCTTCGAGATAGGCAGACAAGTTTATCCCTGAGGCTTGATGGGTGCTTCTGTACCTCCTGCCATCATTCCTTTCTTCTGATTCCAACTATACACTTTGTGTCTGCCCACCCCGCCCGACTTTCAGTCTTAATCCTCCGGGTCCAGGTCAATGAGCAGCTGGCTTAGAGTCCTCAGCAGCTGAGTTTTTCTCTCAGTTACAGAACCAAATGATAGCAAGATGAGTAGAATCCTTCCCACAATTAAGTGTACCTTTATAACCTGCAAACCACAACTCTCAAACTGTTTCTTCTGAGCCTGAATTTCCTCCGTTGAAAGCTTTAGGCATTTCAGAAATGTATTCTTTTTCATTTCATCCTGGTTTGGGGGTTGCCAATTAGACCACTGCCCTAAAAATGAATAACATAAAACTTTGTCTCAATGCTCTGTGAGAGGAAAAAGATTTATAAAGAAATTTAATAAAACAAATTAAAGAAATTTAAAGAAATGGATTAGCCAGTTTAAATTGTATGCCTTATATGTTTAGGACATGAAAGGAGAGTACAGTATAACGAGAAGGCATGGGATAGAAGAGGGGGTTAATAAATTTGTCTTCACGTGATTTAGATAACGAGCCTGAGGGGGTGAGAGAAAAAAGAACATTAGTATATACTTCCCCCATCGATGTTGTAAGATAATGTATAAGTATGTTGCTAATAGGAAATGCTTATATTTCTGGCCAGGATGCTCATCAACAAAAATACACAGGCACAATAAAACATAAGGAATGTTTTATTCCTTATTTTTTATTATAAAAAAACATAAATAAAACATTAAGGAATGATGAAAAATAGTATGACATTTATATAAAACTTAAAGATTTTCAAAAAGATTTCATATCTCAACTTCATTTGACTATTACAACACTGCCACTGAAATAACTAACACACCTTGACAAAAAACAAAATTAAAACTCGGAGAAGGGGCGCCTGGGTGGCTCAGTGGGTTAAAGCCTCTGCCTTTGGCTTAGGTCATCATCCCAGGGTCCTGGGATCTAGCCCTGCATCAGGATCTCTGCTCAGCAGGGAGCCTGCGCCCCACCCCCACCCCACCTCTCTCTCTGCCTGCCTCTCTGCCTACTTGTGATCTCTGCCTGTCAAATAAATAAATAAAATATTAAAAAAAAAAAACCTCAGAGAAGTTAAGTGACTTGGCTGATATCACACAGCTAATATAAACCTGGCTTTCACCAGCGCTCTCTGCAAGTGGAAAGGCAGAATATTTGGTACATACATCACTCACATGCACCCAACCACAAAAAGCAAACTTTGGAGGTTAAGAGTTTATGTTCTGTCTTTCCTCCCTTCCTTCCTTTCTTCCTTCCTTTGTTCCTTCTTCCTTAACTTTCCTACCTTCCTTTTTAAATTCAAGGGACAACCTGTTATTGCCTACCAACTGCTTGTTGGAATAAATATACATACATGTGAACAAACAGAAAACCCCAAAAAGACTTATTTTCTTTCAGTTTCTTTTCTTTTTCTTTTTTTTTTTTTTTAAAGATTTTACTTATTTGGGGGAGAGAGAACATGCTCACATGAGCAGGGGGGAAGGGCAGAGGGAGACTGATGCAGCACTGGATAAACCTACAGAGCCACCCAGTCACCCCTCAGTTTATTTTCAGTTTGACTTAAACTCAAGTAAACAAAAATGACATAATTCCCATCACATTATTTAATTGAACGTGCTCAATCTAACCACAGAAAGCAGATGATAAATCCAAAGAAATTCACTAGAGGGGCCAAGCTGTAAATCTAGAAAGCAGGGGGAACAAAATTCCATAGCAGAGAAATTTCAGAGGCAGGAAATTTCAAAGGAGGAGATTATAAATTAAATCTCAAGAGCAACAGCCGACATATATAAGGTATAGTAATAGAGTTCAGCTCACTTGAGTTCAGCAACCATTCACTGAGCTCCTATTACCTGCTGGCACTGGGTTGGGGACCTGGGTTGAGCACTGCAGACTCAAAGATCCACAAACTCCTGCTGTCAGAAGTGCTCCCCAGGAAGGATTACAATAGCAGCATGGAAGAGGAAACTCCTAACTTCCGTATTTAAATTTTATCGCCCTGATGGATAGCTGACATTCCTTGTAGTAATAACTCACTGAAAATGTATCCATTTTACAAAAGACCTCAACATGAGGCATAAATCTATCAAAATCCTAAAGGAGAGCATAGGCAGTAAGCTCTTCGACATCGGCCACAGCAACTTCTTTCAAGATGTGTCTCCAAAGGCAAAAGAAACAAAAGCAAAAATGAACTTTTGGGATGTCATCAAGATCAAAAGCTTCTGCACAGCAAAGGAAACAGTCAACAAAACCCACAGAATGGGAGAAGATATTCGCAAATGACACTACCGACAAAGGGCTGATATCCAAGATATATAAAGAACCCAAACTCAACACTCACAAAACAGATAATCACATCAAAAAATGGGCAGAAGACATGAACAGAACACTTCTCCAAAGAAGACATACAAATGGCTAACAGACACATGAAAATATGTTCATCATCACTCGCCATCAGGCAAATTCAAATCAAAACCACATTGAGATACCACCTCACACCAGTTAGAATGGCCAAAATTAACAACACAAGAAACAACAAGTGTTGGAGAGGATGTGGAGAAAGGGGAACCCTCTTACACTGTTGGTGGGAATGCAAGTTGGTGCAGCCACTTTGGAGAACAGTGTGGAGATTCCTTAATAAATTAAAAATAGAGCTACCCTATGACCCCGCAGTTGTACTACTGGGTATTTACCCCAAAGATACAGATGTAGTGAAAAGAATGACCATCTCTACCCCAATACTCACAGCAGCAATGGCCACGGTCGCCAAACTGTGGAAAGGGAGAATATGCCCTACAACAGACGAATGGATTAAGAAGATATGGTCCAGGGGCGCCTGGGTGGCTCAGAGGGTTAAAGCCTCTGCCTTCGGCTCAGGTCATGATCCCAGGGTCCTGGGATCGAGCCCCGCATCGGGCTCTCTCCTTGGCGGGGAGCCTGCTTCCTCCTCTCTCTGCCTGCCTCTCTGCCTACTTGTGATCTCTCTCTGTCGAATAAATAAATAAAATCTTTAAAAAAAAAAAAAAGAAGAAGATATGGTCCATATATACTATGGAGTATTATGCCTCTATCAGAAAGGATGAATACCCAACTTTTGTATCAACATGGATGGGACTGGAGGAGATTATGCTGAGTGAAATAAGTCAAGCAGAGAAAGTCAATTATCATATGGTTTCACTTACTTGTGGAGCATAAGGAATAACACATTGGGAGAAGGAAAGGAAAAGTGATTTGGGGGAAATCAGAGCGGGAGACGAACCATGAGAGACTGTGGACTCTGAGAAACAAACTGAGGGTTTGGGAGGGGAGAAGGGTGGGCGGTTGGGTGAGCCTGGTGGTAGCTTTTAAGGAGGGCACGTATTACATGGAGCATTGGGTGTGATGCATAAACAATGAATCTTGGAACACTGAAAAAATAAAATTAAATTTAAAAAAAAGAAGAAAAAAGAAAATGTATCAATTTTGTTAACTAGTCCCAATCTGGATGAGAGAGGGTAAGGGTGTAGGAGCCTCTGAAACACAGCTGTGGAATTATATGCTTAGTCATCGACTATCAAAAGTGCCATCTTGCAGCAGAACCAGGGACTTAACAGGACTAACTGTCAATAGCTGGGAGAATAGGTCAACCCTATGAATGCAGTTACTTTAAAGCAATGCCGCAAGCTTTACAGAACAGTGTTTCTTTGTCTCTTGTTCTCTTGGGAAGTGTACTCTTGTGTCAGTTTAAATATCCATAGTCATTACCTTTCAAAAGCTAAGTAGAAATCATAATCTTTGGTCTCATTCTTGTGTATTACTTTTGAATACTATTTCTTTATGTTCAATGTTTTTAATTTTTTAAAAATGTTTTTTATTTATTTGAGAGAGAGAATGTGTGTGTGTGTGAGAGAGAGAGAGAGAGAGAGTGAGAGTCCATTTTTTTAAAGGTTTTATTTATTTATTTGACAGAGAGAGATCACAAGTAGGCAGAGGCAGCCAGAGAGAGAGGAGGAAGCAGGCTCCCTGCTGAGCAGACAGCCTGAGGCAGGACTCGATCCCAGGACCCTGAGATCATGACCTGAGCCGAAGGCAGAGGCTTTAACCCACTGAGCCATCCAGGCGCCCTGTCCATTTTTTTACTGTTTTTTTTTTTTTTTTTTGAGTCACCCAGGTGCCCCTCTTGTGTATTATTTTTGTCCATGCTTTTTCTTACTGTAAACTCCCACTCACTTTGACCATGTCTGCCTGAATTATTTTTACAAACACAAGGTGAAAATGAGGTGTCCTTTGAAAATTTGCATCTGAATTTTTGTACCAAATCCATGAATGTTACAGTGAAACTGACCTTATCTTTGCTAAAATCTTTCAAGGCTCTCCCTTATTTCAAGAAAAACTCTGAAATCTCATGGAATTTATTAAGTCTTTCCTAATCTAGACCCTGCCATGGTCTGATTGCTTGAAAGTATCTTTACCTTACTAATTTCTTCCTATTCTTCATTCTCCATTTATGATGCCTCTTCTGAGAAGGCTCCCCTTGACCTCCCAAGTCTGGGTTAGGTGTCTAAACTGGTATTCTGAGACCCAATTCCAATGTCTGTGTGGGTAGGAGGGTTTCCCATGTATGCAACCAAGCCATTCTGCTACTGTCTACCCAAGGATAGAATCAGATTTCTCAGGTTAAGAGTTCAGTCCTACAGGACTGCTCGCTCTCTCTTTCTCTCTCTCTCTCTTTCACACACACACACACACACACACACACACACACACTTCAGACACCAGTCAAAAACCAGGTTATTACCTGTGCTTCTGGCTGACTAGCTACAAACTGAAGGTTCCAATGACCTTCTCCTTGGATTTCAGACACTGGCTGAAAGTTCAGGTTGTTACCTGTACTTTTGACTGGCTGACTATACATCAGAGGATCCCATGATCTCCTCTTCGGGTTCAATTTATTTGCTAGAGCAGCTCACAGAACTCGGAGGAACATTTTACGTACCAGATTACTGGTTTGTTATACAGGTGTATTACTCAGGAACAGCCAGACTGAAAAGATGCATAAGGCAAGGAAGGAAGGGAGAAAAGGTGTGGAGTTTCTGTGCTCTCTCCCAGCGAATCACACTCTCTAGCTCTCCACATGCTCACCAACCTGAAAGCTCTCTGAACCTGTCCTTCTGGATTTTTATGGAGGTCCGTTACCTAGTCACAGCTGACTAAATCATTGGCCATTGGCAACTGATTCAACCTCCAGCCCCCTCCCCAGAAGTTGCACTGGGGGATGCCAAGAGTTCCAATCCTCCAATCACAGGTCAAGTTTCCTGGTGACCAGTCCCCATCCTTAGGTGCTTTCCAAAGTCACCTCCTCGATGTAACAAAAGACATTTATCACTCTCCACACTTAGGAAATCCACGGGGTTTGAGAGCTATAAGCCAGGAATGTGGAGGAAGACCAAATATATATAACAAATAAGGTTGGATCATATGAATGAAGAAATATATTTTCTAAATTGCAACATCACAGTGCCTGTCCGAGATGCTCCCACAGAACAGTTTCACCCTCTTTCATAGCTCAGTATCCTCAATTAGATTTTGAGTGGAAACAATGTCCACCTTATCAGTGTATTCCCAGCACCCACCACGTGCTTGACACATATCATGGATACAATATACATTAGTCAAGTAAATAAATGAAATAAGCTTCTGTTTCCCAAGCTGACATTTGCAACAGTGTAATTTTCCTAGTTAGCTCTAGGGCCATGTCGAAAAGACTTCTCCAGACCCAAATTCCCAGTCATTGTGATGATTTTTGCCCCACTGAATGGGAGATACTTGAGTGTACTTCACACCATGAATAATAATTTACTGTGATGAGAGAGCTCAAAGTAATTTCAAGATTCCTAATGCTGCCAGCAACAAATACGTAAATGCAATAAAACTCAAAGAAATGAATTGATCAAGTGGAACGTGTCTATATTTGAACGATCCATTTTTGGAATTAGAGATGTACATTTTTCCCCAGAGCCTTGGCTTATGTAGCTGGAGGCTTTCCATTTAATTGCCTCTTAGGCAATCCATGTCATCATAAGTAAATCCAATCACGTGCGTGCACATGAGTGTGTGCATTGTGTGTGTGTGTGTGTGTGTGTGTGTTCATTTACTAATTAACCTTGCTGGTAGAAAGACAGCCAAAAAACGGTTATAAAAGGTCACAGCTTAACACAGAACCAGCATGGTCCGCTCTCTTTTCCATGCTATCTCTGACCCACATGCATACAGACGTCCTCACACCCATAAGGAATAGTTTGCAAGAGCTGACTTTTCAACTTAAAGTCACTCACCTGACAAGCTCCAAAGGGCTAGTTCCTTTTTTCTTGCCACTTCCTCTTGAACTTCACACAGCATATGTTCAATGTTCACAACGGCCTCAATGACGTCAGCTTGGGCTCCTTTAATCTCTAAAATTGCCTTTTCTGGACTGATAATCTCTGAGATAGAGACCCTCAAGGTATTCTGAAGCCGAGTCAAAATGTCATGTTCTTTTTTCCCAAGATAGAGGATAAGATTATTCTCAATGATATTGTGGTCCTGGGGGGTCAGTATCCTTTGGATCCATGCTTGGGCCTCCTTCATCTTTTCCAGGTTGGATCCCATCAGACTGATGGCAGGAGACTTAGCTTGGAGCCCATTTTCTCTTTTCTCCTCTCTGGCCAACTGGGGGACTGAAAAGACTGTCATAAACATCCATAGAAGGCAGGTGGGTTTTAAACCAGGGCTGAACAAAACACCAAGGCCAATGTTTGTCCCGAGGACATTATGACCATTGCCAGCGGCAGCAGCTTCAATTAAGTGCCTAGCTCTGATTGCTGTGTCAGATATGAAGGAAATCTAAATGTATGATTTACAGTCTCCTTGAGGGCAGAGTTCAGCCTGTGAGGGGTTGGTTTAATCATGCCTCGCCCCTGCTATGTTGCATTTGTCAGTTCACAGATGAGCTCACCTTGTGATATCACCATGGATGTTAACCAACAATTATAGGCATGCCTCAGAGACGCAGGTCGGGTTTCACACCACCACAATCAAGTGACTGTTGCAATAAAGCAAGTCAAATGCATGTCTTGGTTTCCTAGTGCATATAAAATTTGTGTCTATACTATACCGTGGTCTACTAGGGGTGCAATAACAATATGTCTAAAAACCAATGTACCTACCTTAATTTAAAAACACTCTGTTGCTAAAAAAAAAAAAAATGCTATCATCTGAACTTTCCATGAGTCATAATTACTGAACACAGATCACCATAACAAATACAGTAATAATGAAGAAGTTTGAAATATTCCAAGAATCATCAAAATGTGATATAGAGACATAAAGTGAGCAAAGGCTGTTGGTAAAATGGCACCAGTTGGCTTGGTTGATGCGGGGTTGCTGCAAACCTTCAATTTGGAAAAACGAAACAAAACAAAACAAAAAAACCCAGTGGTATCTGTGAAGCACAATAAAACAAAGTACAATAAAATGAGGTATGCCTTTGTGTCCCGCTGACTGAGATTTTCCTCAACCTCTCGCTACTATCGAGTTTGAAATCAAACATCTCTGAAAGCCATAGAGCTTAAAGGGCAAAAATTCCTTTTGAAAAATATGTACTTCTGATTATAAAAATAATACATTTATTTTGGAAAAATTAGAAAATTATCCAAGTTTAATGAAAAGAAGAAATACCCATAACCTCATTACCTGGGATTCCTTTTGATTTCATATCTGTATGTAACAGGACAATTTACGTCTCCACAGAATTTGCAGCTTAGCAGCTTCTACTACTTGACATGGTATATCCCAGCAGAACAGGCCATGGAAATTGATTCCAACCCACCCATGTGTATAAGGAGCAAAGATATATATAAAGAATTAGAATCTCTGATGGATTGGGGTAACTCTCAACTCAAATTGCAAAAAAAAATAAAAAAGAAAAGAAAAGAAAGAAAGAAAGAAATTGGGGGGACTAGCTGAGAGGAAATTCATAGGTGAAGCAGTATCCAGAATATATAAAGAATTCTCTCGAATTATCAGGAAAAAGGAAGAACCTAATACTCAGCTGGACAAAAGATTTCATAGAAAAGTAAATATAAATGGCCCAGATATGTGTGAGGAGATGCTCATCTTCACTGACAATCAGGGATATGAAAAATTATCCAACAGATCAGCAAAAAATAAGTCTAACAATATTAAGTGTTGGGGATGATATAGAGGAACTGGAACTTCTGTATATATTTATGATGGGTGTAAAACTGGAACAACTACTCCCATAATTATGTTCTGTAAAGAAATTTTTGTATGTGTGCATCAGGAGATATATACAAGAAAATTCACCTTCTCCTTTGTAACAGCAAAACCCACTAGAAATGACCCAAATGTCCTTCAGCATTGGAATATTATTAAAGCAATGAAAAGGAGTGAACTTTAGCTATTTGGATGAATCTCAAAAACATAAGTATATGGGGATACATAACATAAGGGGAAAAGTAAATTGAGCACCTACTATGTTCTAGGCATTTCTAAATGCTTCACATAAATTATTCTGTTCACTCCTCACAACCTTATAAGTACTATTAACAGCCTCATCTTACAAATGAGGAAACTTTTTAAAGTTATTAAGTAACTTGCCCGTGGTTAAAGGTCTAGTAAGTAGGAGCCGTGGAGCTACTAGGTATGGGCAGTCTGACTCTAGTACTCACATAATTCTGCCTCCCCATAAATGATCTGAGTTTAGTAGTGGTAATTAGCATCTTTTCCCCGATGGAATAGTTGGGTGGTACCAGGAACTCTGAAATAGTACCAGGAGAGAGACAGCAGGAAGAGGGTCTGAGTTAAAAAAAAAAAAAAGCCAATGTTTTGGACAATGAAGTGACAAAGAGTTCTTAAACTGGAGACATAGGGATTTTGTTTATTTGTTTATTTTTTAACCCTTGTTCTCCCTGGGAGTTTATATTACTTTTTAGGAGAAAAGAGAAGCAATACATGGTGATACTTCACTTACCCATCATTACCGGGGCGGGGGGGAAATTGTTCTTTTGGGAAACTAATTTTTCAGATCACTAGGGGATACACTTCTAGCACCAAATACCTTAGTTAAATATTTATGAGTTAGATTACTTAGTCTATTAGTTAAATATTTATTAGTTAAATATTTCTAATGAAAACACATTTCCCTGCCTTCCTAAATAGTTCAGCTCTTCCTTGATAATCTGAGATCATTACCATTAACCATCATTAAGGTCAATTATTGTCCTGTGCTATAATTATAATTCCTTTACAGATGTCCTTTAAAATGACCAAAGTAAATGGTAACACGTGGCCCTATTATTTGGACTAAAAACAGAGACATTTGTGTGTTCTTTTTCCATATTAGCCTCACCTAAAACTCCTGTCTACCTTCCCTTGGTTCAGTGTGGTTCCCCCCACATGCACTGCATTTGTTTGCTTCTAGGCATTTTCTTCACATTGGGTGCCCCACCGCAGCAGCTTGAGCCACTGAAAATCTGCCATCCTCAATAAAGCCCAACTTAGACCCACTTGTCCAGGAAGCCACTCTCGATCTTTTTAGATCAGAAGGACTCTCTGCCTCTTCTGGGTAGTTTGTCCAGGTAGTTTCTCCCCTGGGTAGTTTGTCCATCCTCTCACTCATTATTCTTTGGCCTTCATTCAATGCTTTGCAACAGAACATTTTTGCATACATAATCTCTATTTATGCTGACAAAAGTCTGTCTTTATCATCATTTTACGGATAAATAAAGAGGTTCATAAGAGGCACAGTGACAGACCACAGTTCTCCAAGTAACCCCGCCTTTGTTTCCAGCACTGCTGGACCATGGCCCATCTATAAGTGAACTGTTCTGTTAAAGGGTATAAGCAAGTCATTGTGACCCTAGTGGGAAATACCCCAACAGTTTCTATTCCTCACTGAATGTCTAGTGTTCTTGACATTTTTAGACTACTGTAGCTCAAAAGACCACTTCACAAGTACACATCCTTGTTGTCATGAAGCAATTCCAACTCCATCAACTCCAGCTCCACTAAAGGAAAGGAGTTACATGACACAGTTCATCTTTCTCCCACATTGGCCATGGTTAGTTAAGTCCAGGGATCCCCGAACCTAGTTCAGCAGCAAAACTGACTAGGAGCTACTGAAAAATACACATGCTTGGCCCAGATCCAGAGGTCCTGGGTCAGAATATGTAGAGTTGGGGGCCATACATATTTTTGTTTGTTTATTTGTTTGAAGTTTCTATTATGATCCTAGTGATTCTCAGGTTTGGGGAGCATCAGGTGAATCCATTTATTATTATCTGGTATGACTGAGATGTGTTTTCTAAAATGACTCATTTAGATGTGACCCCATTCAGAGCAGAAAGAGTCACTGGCTCAGTCAGCTTATGAAGGACAGAACTTTTTCTTAGAGAAAAATTATAGAGAGCTATCTGTGAAGTAAATAACCACACTGTGGATTACCCACCGCGGCTTAGCCTCTCTCTATTCATATCATGAAACTGGACTGGGCAAAAACAGAATGATGTTCAGACGCCAAGCAGGTTAGTATCCAAACAGGAGAAAATATATTGGGCTTAGTTCTTCCTTTTGTCCCTTCTATTAGTTAAGATGATGAAGAGGATGAGCTTCTGGTGAGCAGACTCTACTTCTATTTTTTTTTTTTAATTTTTAAAGATTTTATTTATTTATTTGTCAGAGAGAGAGCACAAGCAGGCAGAGGCAGAGAGAGAAGCAGGCTCCCTGTGGGACAAGGAGCCCGACACGGGACTCGATCTCAGGACCCTGTGATCAAGACCTGAGCCAAAGGCAGTGGCTTAACTGACTGAGCCACCCAGGCATCCCACAGGCTCTACTTCTAGACCCGGGAATTTCTTACTCACCATTGTAGTTACTGAAACCACATAGCTTGAATTTAGTCTTTTCCATTTCAGTGCTGAAAGCCTATAAGAAGCAAAACAGAGCAGAGTCATAAGTGGGGCTTTTAGCCATAGTCCTCAAATCCCTCTTCCTACCTGCACATACCACACCTGACCTCATCCACTCTGTCAGTCTCTATCCCCATTGCCACAAATCTATAGCAGCCTTTTGGGAAGTCCTAAGAAACAGCGATCACAGCACCAAATCGTGTAGTACCACGATCTATTAGAACACCTAGGGGAAACAAGTATAGAAAAACCAGACAGAAAACCGAAATCTGGTCTTAAGATAAAGAGAATATATATGTATATCCCAAGGCAAAACATAATCATTCATTCATTCCACAAACATTAATGCTCTGGTTATTGCCTGTGAGGCACTGAACCAAGTCTGCAGCCACTTCACTGGAGAAGACAAAACTAGGCAGGTGCTCTTGTAGTTAATAAAATGGAAATTCATTTGAAAAAGATTTTTCTGCAGCTTCTCTGTAGCCCAGGGCCTGGTTGATGCAACACACGGCACCTGTTTTTATTATCATTGCCTAGGGGAGTCCTCAGATTGTGGTTGATCTTTCTACGTTTTTTGAACTGCCACGTACATTTTTGTTTGTGTATTGAAGAGAATGAACCTTCTTTTCTACATGCAGTTCATTCCCCTTGTAGGAAGATGGTCCTTCCTGAGCTGTTCTGGAATGTGCCCGGAGCACCTACCTGGGCCCACGGATCGATCGATCGATTGAGTTCTGCTTTAGGGAGAACTTCATTTGCAAGACTGGATGATTCCTTGTGTCTGGAAAGTGAGCTACTTTACGGGGTAACTGGCTTATAAGTCTGTGGGAGAGACACCCTGGTGTCCTGGAGCTGGCTGACATGGGCTAATGAGAGCTCACTGTGGGCATCTCTTCCCAACTCCATCTTCAGAAATGTCAGCAACGAATATCAGCAAATGCTACAAACTTCCTTGTGCCTAGTCAAGCAGCAAAAGGAAAAAGAACCTTAATACTTGTTCCAGGAAAGAGCAAGCTGGAACAAGAATAAGTTCGTTTTCTTGTCGGGAGAGAGAAAATGGCAACCATCCACCTGGAGACAGGCTGCAAGGTGGAAGAGAAAGCAGTCAGAGGACTATTGTTCAGAGCCACTCTCTCTGCCAGGCACCGAGGAAGGCTCTTTATACCCGATACCTGGACCCACACCTGGGAGGCTGTGCTAGCACTTGGATGTTGCTATTGGCAGAATCAGAAACCTGTCTTGAAAATCTGTTTTAAGTCACTGTATCTTATTTCATTTCCTTTTTAATTGCTCCTTTACATCAGAACAAGTTCCTTCTCGAAGTGCCAGTTAAGTGAGCATAAAGCCCAGAGATGGTACGTTAAAGGCAGAACTTCACAGCACTCTATATTAATTATGCTGAATATATCAGGGACCTTTTCACATGTTAGAAACTCAACTTAATCTGCCCACTCTAAAGCAAAAGCTGAGATGAAGTGAAAACTAAAGCAGCTGGACACACAGATCTCTGCATTCAGACACATGGACACACGCCCCTACACACTGGTCCCTCCCCTTTGTATCAGACCACTACTGACCTCCCTCTGGGGTCACCCACAGAGAAGTTAAACAATAGATTGAATTTGGGGGCAGTACTGAGGACACGGCAAAAGTAGTCAAAGATAACTCTGCTGTGAAATAATTAATAATCTAATTAGGAAGAAAAGATAACAAACGGGTCACTTGGTTTCCTCTTTAGGTCAGCACTCTGTGAATTACAATTCATTACAGCTGATGCAACAGCTAACCCTCACGGAGGGCTTCCCTGCATGCCTGGTACTGTTCTAAGTGTTTTATGTGTATTAACTCATTTAATGCTCACAACAGCTCCATAGGATGGTAGTTATTATCCTCACTTTATTCTACTTTTTTTTTTTTTCCAAATAAGCTCTGTGCCTAAAGTGGGGCTTGAACTCATGACCCTGACATCAAGAGTTTCATACTCTACTGACTGAGCCAGCCAAGCTTCCCTACTATCCCACTTTAAAGATGAAGAAACTGGAGCATGGAAAAGTATATTAACTTGCCCCAAGAAGTTGATCAATCGGAGAGAAGACAAAGAATTTGTTTTAAATATGTTGGTCTAAATATGACAATGGGATAACCAAGTGGAAATGAGACAGGATTAAGTGTATGGGTCTGAAGGTGGCTCAGAAGACAGGTCTTTGAAGAAATTGTCAGAATACTTGTGTTCTCAGAGCGGGAGAGAAGACAGAGGAGCAGAGGACCCCCACACTGAAACGAGAAGGTTGCTTATCTTTGAGGAGCAGAGGGGAGAATAAAGGCCAACAAAGGAAAAGACAGAATTTAGGGAGCAGGGTAACATGGCTGTTTTAATGACATTCCTCACTAGGTCAGAGATGAGCAATTAAAAAAACATTAAATTCACCAAGTTAGAACATCACTGTGCTGTACAGTGCTTAGCTCATGTCTTACACTGGAGATACTACACAGATGTTATGGGATGAATGAATGAATAAATAGGACATTCCTTTCCTTTTTTTTTTTTTTTTTAAAGATTTTATTTATTTATTTATTTACTTGTCAGAGAGAGAGAGAGCACACACGCAAGCAGGCAGAGGCGGAGAGGGAAGCAGGCTCCCCGCCAAGCAAGGAGCCCAATGCAGGACTCGATCCCAGGACCCTGGGATCATGACCTGAGCCGAAGGCAGCGGCTCCACCGACTGAACCACCCAGGCGTCCCTGAATGGGACATTTCTAAAATATTATCTTACCATGTAGGTGTCCAGTTCTTCTGGAAAGATCACAAACTTTACAGTTAATTGCTTTTTCAAATGGCATTTGGCAAAAGCTAAAACTTCATCAAACATAATCTCGGCTGCTACACTCTTCTGTACACCAAAGTTTCCAGTCCCAAGGGCAGGAAAGGAAATAGAAGTTTTATTTAGTTCAAGGCATTTCTCCAAACATTCCTTCATTGCAATTCTCAGTATCTGTAGGAAAAACAGATCAGCCTTTGAGTCAGAATAAAACTTTACTCACCTCTCGATCCTGCCCACATCTTACAATGCCCACCTCTATTCTCCCTTAGGGTCATGGCTATGCCTCCTTAGAGAGCCTATGACAGCCACATGGTTAGATGATGAGAAACGCGAGTCACTGAGGGGTCTGTTTGGGTGCCATGATTTCTCCCAGTTTATATAGCCTTGTTCATCTCCCCTGGACTGCGAGCCAGTTTATTCCCATTTACCTGCTGCTTCCAGGTTGAAACAAAGAGCTCTCAGAAGTTTAATAAAGGAGACAGAGGGAAAAATAAGTAAGCAGTTTTATCCAACATCTTTAAGATATGTCCTAATGTCCTATGTATTTTCTTCTCAAGAAGTGCTAACGTATTTGGCAGATTTAAACTTTACATCAACATTTCAACATCCAAACTGAAGTACAGGAAAGTTGTCTGTGGAAGGGCCTTGGAAAACTGGGGGGTAGAGAGTGACTGGAGGGCCAGTTTGGGACTAGAGGGCTCTTAGTCAAAGAAGGCCCAGAAATGGTGACAAAATAAAGATAAACAAAGGCAGGGAAGGAGACTCTTTCCCTCTCTTCATATTTGAGTGGGTCCCTCCACTCTTTAATGTGTATATTTTATGTGTCTTGGGTGAAGAGTTGGCCAGAAAGCCAACTGGGAAGACACCACAGATGATAGATTTACCTGGAGCAGTACTGGAAGGGAAGTCCCAGGTGCCCCTGGCACTTAACTGATGCAGGGAAATACAGAGAGGCTGAATTCCAGGTCCATTTAGGGAAAGGGCAACAGGGTCACAGAGGGGTGAGGTGAACAGATGTGTAGACTGAGGGAACCTACTCTTTCCAGGTCTGTTCGCAGTACGCTTGCTTAAAATTTAGACATGAGTTAGGTAATATTTAAAATTAAATTTCTTAAGTTAACTTGCGACAACAATGCTTTTCCTGTATTTCAGAATGGTAGAAAACGAGGACTATCTCACTTATCAAATTTTCATAAATGTAGTGACATGATGGAAATTCAACAAAGACTATGCAGTCTACAGGACTACATAAAGATAAACTTATGTCGAACTTACCTTAGTCAGTTTGTGATGTCCTGAATGCAACAACACATGGTATACGTACTGACAGGACAATTGAAATCCTCTTGTGACCAGTACCAATGGAGACTCTAGTATTTCAGTAATTTTTTCATTAAATTCCAATTCCATTTCATTTCCCGCTTGTTGTAGAATTGATGTTGACACATCTCCAAATCCCAAACCACAGAGCGGATTTACAGAATTAACAATTACATCCGTCTGAAAAGGAAAAACAAAAAACAAAAAACAGAGGATCCATTGTTAAATTACTTTTTCTTCAATCTTTAGTTTATATTGAAAAATACTTTTGAAGATTGTAAATTCACAAGACATCTTTTGTTTGTGTGTTTGTTTTGCACAAGGTTATCATTTAGCGGTGGACAGAAACTCATAATTTCATTTGATTGCCATGAGTCATTTGTCCTATTCAGAAATTAGGCAAAGCGTGTGGATAAGACAGTTCTGACTGCAAATGTCTGTCAGCCTCTTGCCGCTTTATACCCCCCATATTCCAAGATTCTGGGCATTCCTTGTGATTTGTTTAAACCTTCATCAATACATGGTTTCATCCGCTCCCCCAGTGCTATCACTTTTTGCTATTTCTGTGTGGATTTTCTGTTTGGTTTAAAGAGAGTGGAAATAAAATTTCTTGGGAAATTTCTACCTCCTAATGCTTTTCTGTTTTTAAAAAAAAGCAGTACATGGTCAAAGAAAATACAAATGAGACAAAAAAGTCTTCAGTGGAAATAGGCCTCCCTCTTGGTGGGTTCCCTGGATGCTCCACGCACTCACCTGTCTGGAGGGCAACCACTTTTACCAGTTCTTCATCTGTCCCTTTGGAAATGGACTGCATACACATGGGCTGTGTTTTCAGTAGTATCGCCTCCTAGTTAGCCCTCAGGCCTGGGCTACAGGGGAAGGTCTCCTTTTGCTTCTGCCCCATGCTCAAACACCCCTAAGTCATCCTGATTGCTTTGGTTCCCTTTGAGGGCAACCCAGGTACTTTTTTTTTTTTTTTAAAGATTTTATTTATTTATTTGTCAGAGCGAGAGAGGGAGAGAGAGCGAGCACAGGCAGACAGAATGGCAGGCAGAGGCAGAGGGAGAAGCAGGCTCCCTGCTGAGCAAGGAGTCTGATGTGGGACTCGATCCCAGGACGCTGGGATCATGACCTGGGCCGAAGGCAGCTGCTCAACCAACTGAGCCACCCAGGCGTCCCAACCCAGGTACTTCTAATGGACGTTAATGAATGCTTCACTTCGAAAGTGCAATCAGAATTTCCAGTTTGGGGGCACTGGCACCCTTGAAAAACTTTAAGGTTCTCAATGTTGCTGGCAACAAAGAAATATAATAAAAGTTTAGTTAAAGGGTAAGTTATTCAACTAGGATTTTTCCATTTTAATTTTAAGGTGGTGTATTAATGACTTATTGAATCAATGTTTCATCCTGTGGGGTCCCCTGTCTTCTTTTCTAATTGTGTCTTGTAGAAAATAAGTGGTATTTTGGGATGCCTGGTTGGCTCAGTAGGTGAAGTGTGTGCCTTTGGCTCAGGTCATGATCCCAGGGTCCTGGGATTGAGCCCCACATCTGGCTCCCTGCTCAGTGGGGAGTCTACTTCTCCCTCCCCCTGCTCGTGTGTGTGTAAGTGCGCTCTCTCTCTCTCTCTCTCTCTCAAATAAATAAATAAAATCTTAAAAGAAAAAAAAGAACAAGAAAAGAAGTGGCATTTTTTCACTTATGATGAAGTCTATTTGATTGTGGCCATAGGAGAAACTTAAGAGTGACAACTCTGATGCAGAAATAAAAAGAATATAGCCTTATATTCTTTCTCTTCCCTGCTACCCCCTTCACTTTGGCTTCAATAATTTGCTGAACACCCAGATGCATGCCAAGCTGGGCCCTGCGGCTACAAAGATGAACATGCCTTGATTCCTAGCCTTAAGGTGCTCTGCCTAGCAGGAGAGTTGCACCAACCCAGAAATCCCCAAGTTCACTGTTACCATGATTCCCTCCCTTCCTGGCCAGGGCTCTGGCCTTGGTGTTCCATAAGCACTGGCTAAACCCTAACTTGCCCTTTGTATTCTCTCCAACCCCTGACAGAGAGCAGTATACGAAGTATACAACTTACAGCTCGACCTAGATCTCCTGACGGGTCCAGTCCATGATTTTTAGGCTCTTAACACTTTTGTGTCTCTCTGATCAAGTCATTCTAACCACCCAGTTCATACCCATCATAACTTGAGGTCAGATTCAAACTCCTAGCTTCTGAATTAATCTTTCTTGGTCCACTGCCTTACACTCTTGTCATAAATTGACATACTGTTAAATACCATGAGTTCATTTTTTATTAAGACTTTTTTGTTTACTCTTGATAGGTTGCTTCAGAAATGTTCAGATGGTTTTCTTCCCCAATGGGATTTTTTTCAAATCGAGAATTTTTTCTTACATAAAAGAAGTCTAATTGATTTTAAGTTCCTTGGAATCGAAGCTTGTTCTGTTTCCTCCTGATGCCCAAGAGTAGCGGCAATAATCACCATAAATAGTTACCATGTGCCAAGCTCTATTCTAAGCACTTTAGGTGTATTGATTCCAGCTCTTTGATACACGTGATCTTATTATTCTTATTTTACAGATGAGGAGACCGAGTCCAAAAGATAAAATAACTTGATTCAGATCACCCAGTTACAAATGGCAAAGCTATCATTCAAACGCAGAGGGTCTCTCTCAAGTCCGTACTCTTAGCTTCAACAACATGCTTTCTAAACAGCATCTGAAATAGTACATATTTAAAAAAAAAATACCTGATAGGTAATAAACAGTTCAGGGACCTCCTTTGGCAGTACAAGAGGACAGAAACAAAGACTTACCTCCTGCAGCTGGATGTAACCCTGGACAATCTGGAGAGTCACATTGTTCACAAGAACTGTCTTGAAAGGAGGGATGGCTTCTTCACTCATCCAGGATCCCAGCTTGTTCGTCCTTAGGATTACTTCTGAAGCATTTTTAAAGGCAACAACAGTAGGGTGCTTATTGCTTACCAGGTGAATTTCTTTCAAATTAGTGGCCAGTTGCTTCCCTTGGTAATAAAAGCTGATTGTTTTCACAATGATCTCTGTACACAAGTCCAGAGGGAACTGGAAAATCCCAGAGCTGAGGGCTGGAATTGCTACTGTCTCAATGTCTGGATTGTGAAAGGTAACATAATTCAGAATACTTATAATGGCCTTCTGCAGTTTATAGGCACATGTCTGATAATCTTTTGCTATCCACCGAGGCCCAACAGCATGGATAATTAATTTGCAGGGAAGTCTCCCTGCTTTTGTGGTAGCTATTTCACCAACTGGTATTTTACCAAATCTGGAAACTAGTCTTCTGCTCTCTTCTTGGATTTCAGAGCCCCCAGCTTTCACCAGGGCTTGAGCCAGGCCTCCTGCATGAATAAGGTCTCCGTTGGCTGCATTCACCACAGCATCAACGGCATGTCTGGTGAGGTCGTCCTTCCAAACAGATAACTCCAGCCCAGGAATTAGCATTTCTCTGAAGACTTGCAGAGACTCACTGTTCCCTTCCACGGATGGAGAGACCAGGGTACAGACACACTCAAATTTATTCTGAAGGACTTCACACAGCTGACTCTCATTCTTTTTTAAAATTGTGAAGTCACTGTGATTAATGGGAATCTGCCAACCGTGGTCTTCTTCAGGAGTGGCCATCTCTGGAAAATGAGAGAAGATAAAAAATAAAGAAATGAGCGTGGGTTCCTTTGAAAAGGATGTCATTCCACTTCACACCAGAAGACTGTTTCCCTTGTGCAAAAGTGAGATGATGGTCCTCTCACCCCCTTCCCTATCCTCCTTTTCAACTGGACGTATAATTTGAGGATATACAAGAGTTTTTCATGGTAGGTCACCCAAATATATACGGAGGTTTTATCCATAACTTGTTTGCTTTTGTCATTGCCTCGGTTTGGGGTTCTTTTAGAAGCAGACTCTGAGATGAGGATTTGAGGGTCAGTTTATTTGGGAGGTGATCCTACAAAACACCAGGGGTGGGTGAGGATGAGGAGGGAGGAGTGGGAAAGACAGGACAAGGAAGGAAATGAATAAAAGGTGTGTTACAAAGCAAATGAAGCCTAACTCCACTAGGGGGCAGTGCAGATCACATGTCTCATAGCTATACCACCAGCGGGGTAAAAAAACTGGGGCCTATTTTTCCAACTGCCCATCAGTCCAGCAAGTGTGTGGAGCACTGATGGGGCTACAGTAAATAATTCTTCATCATACTCCAGTTTCATGGCACAATTTTGGTGGAATTAAAACTGACTAAAACTTATTTTTCTTGCATGTGGCTGACAGGAAGGTGTGCTGCTTGGACCTCTAACCCCCACCCCAATGCAGTTACGAAGGGGCAATACGGCTAGGCAACAGCGTCCAGTGGTTAGTCACTCGGTCTATTTCCGCTTTCCAGCCAAGGTCACGCTATTCTCAGGGGTGGCCCTCATCCGTGGCTGAGCAAGGCCATTCATGTTCAATGTGGGACTCCAGAAATGAGTGCTCTTGGGCTGGCAGAGCTTTGTCAAGTTTTCATTATGGTCTGATGGCTCCACGTGCCCAATCTGGTTTCTTCTCTTGTCCTTTCACTGTAAACCTTGTGTACCCCCAACTCCAGGTCAGTTTATGCTTCCTGGAGAACCCACCCTGTGACACCATATTTCATGGAGCTTAGGACATCATATGCTACTTAGGACATTATATGCTACTTCGAGAGGAAAAACTATGCCAATTAAACCATGGCACTCTACGGACTGGCAGGGAGGAGTGGCTTTATTTCAAAGATGCGAAAAAACTGGGAGTTCTGAAATAGATAAAATGGGGTCATTAATGATATTTTACTTCAACTTCCATTTCTAATCTAAGCCACCTAGAAAGATCTCTGGTGGCCTCAGTGACCTAAAAGAAGCAGCAGATGGACAGAGAGATCCAGATGACCCACACTCTGGCTGAAAACCTCAAGTTGGTCACCAACTTGATTAGGTAGGTTCCATTAGGCTCATGGAACCCTTGTTAGCAAAGGGACATCAGAGAGTCACATCTTCTGGCCTGTATCAGCTCTAGGGCTATGGGCAAAAGATTATCACATTGAGTGGGCAAAGGCAAGGATCAGTGGGAGTGCTGAGAGAGCACATCTGCGGGTGTCCCACTGCCCCTGAAGCAGTCTCCTTTATGCACTGGGTCCCACAACACCCTGCAGTCACACACCTGAGCACCTGGGGAGCAGGGCAGACATTTTGCTTCTATATTCCCCTTTCAGAGCTCCTCTGAAACAGGAGTGAGGTGATCCTACCTGATTTCTCTTGGTGAGCCACTGCTCCATAGGAACTCTACAAGAAATAAAAGCAGTTTTAAAAAAATTGCAACGGAATGACTACAGAGTACTGATAGCAAATACAGCCTAATAAACACAAAGCTACAACAACCCTGCAAAAAACACTAGGTTTCAGGGAGAAGGGGAACTCATGTTTGTTTAATCTGTGTACCTGACAGACTTGAAATACTCAATGTCCCAGCAAACAGTACCCTGCCCTTCACTGGAGGCCAATGAGCTTCTAATTCAGGATGAGATGAAGAATAGGAGATTAACACTTGAAAAGGCCCAAAGGTCACAGACCAAAATGATCCCAAACTCCCAGGTTGGCCTTCAATCTCCAAAGGCTTGTGGGGTTTCTCTGGACAGAAGAGACAGGGGAACATGAACCTCATCAGCCATACCTCCCCATCTACCAATAGGACCTACTTTCAATTGCCTATTTCAAGACATAAGCCTGAACGTGGAATTTTCCATTTAAACAAATGAGGTTCCTTTTCTCTATTTCCTTGTTTTCATTCCTCCCACTCCTCCTCTTATCCTGCAAAGGCAGAATTGAGGAGTAAGTAGACACAATCAAAATGACACCGAGGTCATATTTTTTTTAAAAAATCACCCATCCTCAAGTAGACTCTGTTGCTTACATTAGCATATTCTTGATTTCCCGTCTCCCACATGGTGCACAAGAAAAACTGTCATTGGGTTATTCAAACCAAAGAAGAATGACAAGTACAACCAAAGACCCCAGGTTTCTAGCTGTTACAGGAAGAACTCTTCGTTTGTAGACCATGGTTCATCATTTATACACACTTAACGTTTTTTACCTCAGGAAAGTCCATTTTCCAGGTCCCTGGGGTCTTTAAATGTTTACAATCCGTTTGGCGTTTCCCAGTGTAAACTGTTATTCCCAGTATGGTTGCCTGCTTCTAGGAATGAATAGAAAGGATGCAATAAGCACAGGCTAGTGTCTTTGGGAATTTGGTAAGAAAACACTGTAGGGCGGCGCCTGGGTGGCTCAGTGGGTTAAAGCCTCTGCCTTTGGCTCAGGTCATGATCCCAGCATCCTGGGATGGAGCCCCAATCCTGCTCTCTGCTCAGCAGGGTGCCTGCTTCCTCCTCTCTCTGCTTGCTTGTGATCTTTGTCTGTCAAATAAATAAATAAAATCTTAAAAAGAAAAGAAAAGAAAACACTGTGGGAAGAGTAAGTACGATTTCTGATCTTGAGTAGTTTTCAGTTTCATTGGTGAAGTGCACACATTGTTTTTGCTGCTGTTGCTGCTGTTTACATTCCATCCTTTACAAAGAAGATCCCCTTGAAACCGGAAGGGCCGTTCAGAGAAGGAGAAGAGCTATGTGGACAAAAGCCGGGAAAGCTTTAGGGAGGAGTTGAGGGCAGAGCTAGGCTTGAAAGATGGAGCAAACTTTTTATGTATCTAGGAGAGGAGGAGAATACCAAGAGGTACTGAGCACAGCATTAAAAGGTTGGGGGAGGGCTGGGTGTCTCAGGTCATGATCTCAAGGTCCTGGGATTGAGCACCCCATCAGGCTCCCTGCTCAGTGGGGAGCCTGCTTCTCCCTCTTCTCCCACTTTCGCCTCTAGAGGGCACTGCTGCTTTCACAAAAGGGGGATAAGGTCGCTGTCTGCTTGGCTGTGGGCGTCCAATGGGCTTTTGTTTTAGATGCGGTTGCACTTGTTTCTTCCTTCAGACCTGGGGATGTTCCTTGAAGACCCAGGGAGAGACTTGAGCGTGGGGGCAGCGTTCATTTAACCCTCCCAAAATAAAAAAGAGCATAGTGCCCCATTCAGTCTCTTCTGTCTTTTTTTTTTTTTTTTTTTTTTTTTTTTTTTGAGAGAGAGAGAGGGAGAGAGAGAAAGCATGAGAGCAAGCACATGGAGGTGGTGCGCATAGACAGAGGGATAGAGAGACTCTTGAGCTTTGGCCATGCTCGGCTCGGAGCCCCACCTAGGTCAAAGGTCGGCTCCACCTAGGTCAAAGGTCCAACTCACCCGCCGCCCAGATGAATCCCACACCTGTCTCTAGGCTATGCTTCTCCTGATCCTCAATTTTCCACTCTCCCTGAGCTGAGATCCAGAGATGAAAGCTTAACTGACTGAGCCTCGGGGCTTCCCCTAAATCGCTTTCAAATATGCCCCTACCCTCCTTTTGTACTGACACCATTTCATTTCAGGGCCTCAGAGCCTCTTGCCATATATTCTTCTTAAGGATTGAAATGTATTTAATTTTACATCTTATTGTTTGAAAAGTAGAATGTTTACTGCTTCAAATTTAGAAAAACTTGAAAGCCTCCCTCCTACCTCCCTCACTACCTTTCCCTCCCAGATGCAGTCACTGTCATTATCATCTCCTGGATCCTTCCAGAGGCATTTTTACACACAAGGTAGCATCTTTCACACACTCTGCTGCATCTTGCCTTTCTCACGTCATGCATCCTAGAGATTTCTCCGTGTTAGCACATAAAGAGCTTCTTCATTCTTTTCACTGCTCTTCACATTCCATTGTATAGATGCACTCTAGGCTGTTAAACTTCTAGGTCCCCCTATTTATGGACATTTAAGGAGTTTCCAATCTTCTGCTATTGTAATAAAGGCTGTAAAGAACAACTGTGTACACAGGTCACTTCACACAGGTGTTAACCGATGAATGGGCATACACTTTTAAAAATATGGCTACTAAAACACTTGAAATAACATACGTCCCTCCTCTTCTATTTCTATTGGTCAGCACTGATCTAGACCCTTCCTAGGTCCCCTAACATTTCCTCCAAGGCCAAGTGCTCCCTCTCTGCTTCAGATCACAGGGATTCTAGCCCCTCCAACGCTCCCCACCTCTCATGCTTTTTGACATTCTGCTTCAAACTAATTCTTGGAGGCCTTAAGAGATTTTGCTTCCTTACTCACAAGTCCGTTTTCCTTTACCAGCCCCTGAGGGCAGGGCCTCTGCTCTCACCTTTCCTCCCTAAGACACGGGGGTGGGCACGGTTAGCCAAATCAAGGCATGATCAGAGGAAAGTCCTGAGAGCCAGTCTAAAGGATAGGGTTGGAGGGAGGTCACTGATGACCTATGATAATGCAGGTGAACGAATTCAAATTTTAAGACAAATGTGAGTGCGTTTCACCTGAATTCAGAATGTGAGTTACATTTTCGTTGCAAATAATAGTAACAAGAAGAAGAATGTAAAGGAATCATAAACACAGGAGACACTTAGTCTGACTTAGACCTCTGAGCCGTCCCCATCCTCACAGGGGGCAGCGGGTCCTGGAAACCCGCTTCTTGTCCGCCCCCCACCCCCAACCCCACCCCCACCCCCCCGCCGGAGCCCGCAGGAGAGAAGCAGCAGCGACAGCGGCCACCGCCGCCGCGGGACGCTGGTCAGGGGCCCGGGGGCCTGGACCTACTCACCCGGCGGACCGCCGCAGGAAGGGCGCCCCAAGGGAGGAGGGGAGCGGCTCTGCCTGGCGGGGGGAGGGATTTCGGGGAAAGCGAAACTGAAACTCTGAGGGCCCAGGACTGCCGAGCGCGGGTCGAACCCGGTGCCCCCCCACCCCCGGAGCCAGACGCCCGGAGCCATGGCCTCCGCCCTCTGCCCGCCGTCCCCGCTGCTCGTGCGGGTGTCCGAGTCCAGCCGTCGAACACGCTGGAAGCTGGAAATTTACTTCCAGAGCCAGCAGTCCGGCGGCGGGGAGTGCACCGTCCAGCCCCTCTACCACAGGGACCAGGTCACCTTCCTGGTGAAGTTCGCGGAACCGGCAGGTGAGAGGTGGGCCGGGGCTGCGGGTGCCAAGGCGCCTGGCCTCGCGGGATTCCAGGCAGACCCAGCTCATGCTGACCTAGGAGAGACGGCGGGAGAAAGTATGGCACCGTCTGATGGGGCCAGGACCCGGGGGCTGCTGCTGCCCAAAGACACAGCCCGATGGGGAGGGTAGAGCCCAGAAGTGCCCAGTCGGCGATCTGGTCTGACCACATTTTAAAGTTGATGCTTTCCGGTATCCTCACCCTAACTCAAATTTCTCAGCTCTGGGAAGGACACCTTTCCCTCCCGCCAGACACCGGTAAACTCTTGTCATTTAGGTATTCCATTTTTATGTTTTAATTACTCCATTGATTTATTTTTGAGAACCACATAAGTAATATATGCTCACTATAGCAAAGTGGGAAAAGAATAAATAAAACCATCTGGAGACAATATGACATACTTCTTTGCCGCCTTTTTTCTATGACTGTCAGTCAATCAACATATATTTACATAATTCTGAGGCTATACCTTTGATTCCTGCTTTTTCCACTTAACTTTATGTAATGAGTATTATTGCATATCACTGCAATGGGAAACTGGAGACAATTTCAGAAATGTGACTTTTAAAGAGTGTATTGCCTTATCATGAGCTTTTCATTTCTACAGTAAAACATAAGCCAGGTCACCTGGGTGGCTCAGTCAGCTAAACATCCACCTTCAGCTCAGGTCATGATCCCTGGGTCCTGGGATCCAGCCAGCATCAGGCTTCCTGCTCAGTGGGAAATCTGCTTCTCCCTCCTCTCCTCCCCACTGCTCATGCTGGGGATCATGCATTCTCTCTCTCTCTCTCTCTCTTAAATAAATAAAATCTTTAAAAACAAACAAACAAAAGCATAAGCTGCCCACATTAGAGTTTGAATAGTTCCTGCACTGCTGGTCCCCAACCCACTATTCCAGGATGCAGGGAACTGCCTTCTTGGGAAGCTGCTGAGGCAGGGTACAGACACATGAGGAACAGGTTTATTTAAAATCTTTCCTGGGGCGCCTGGGTGGCTCAGTGGGTTAAGCCTCTGCCTTTGGCTCAGGTCATGATCTCAGAGTCCTGACAGCCGCATCGGCCTCTCTGCTCATCGGGGAGCCTGCTTCCTTCTCTCTCTCTGCCTACTTGTGATCTCTCTCTCTGTGTGTCAAATAAATAAATAAAATCTTAAAAAAAAAAAAAGTTGAGGTGCCTAGGTGGCTCAGTGGGTTAAAGCCTCT